ACATTCAAAAAGATGTTTTTTATCTTTAAAAAACAAACCGAAAACACAGATTTCGGACTATCCCTTCATATACTGACGTCACAGGTGACCTACTCAACTCTACATCAACTGCCCAGTGTCCCGCCAAGTCTCAGACAACATGTTTTTATCGTTTAAAAAAAGGATTCCAGCCGAGCATGTCTCTGACGACACTATCCCTTCATATGCTTAGGACAAAGAAACAGATGAACTCTACTTCACCTGCCCTGTATCCCGCCAAGTTCAGATAGGCAACTTTATCATTCACTTCTTAAAAATAAAATAAAAATTGAAAAAAAAATGTATCATTTATGTATTGGTTTAGAACCCGTACCATCCGTATGCAAGCCAATTACACTAACAACTTAGCTATTTAACTCGTGACATCACTGATGTTTTTTATACTATAGTTTAATACTTTGAGTCTCCTTATGCAACTTGATTTACGCGCATAGATCTAGATCTAAGTCTAGTAGTAGTAACTTTCAAATTAAATTGTATCTTAAATTAGCCAATTACATAGCTAAACAAAGATTTATATAAAATAATGAAGGTCTGAAATTATCTAGATCTAGATAGAATTATCTAGATCTAGATTCTACTACTCGTTTGCTTAAGTCTTAAGTCTAGTTTTTGCGTAACTCTTGCTAGATCTAGAATCTAGATCTAATCATCTATATATATAATTCTCTTCTGGGAGACGCTAGAAAACAAGCTGTAAAACGCGCTCCTTACCACCCCCAACCCCTACATGGTCTTAGTGAGCTGTGTTCACTCTTAATGTTTACAAGCAGAGCCGGGTTTAGTGACGACTATTAGGGGCAGATAATTTAGTTTGAAACGATTTTAAACGTAAGGGGGGGGGGGAGGGAAGGAAGGAAGGGTGGGGGGGTGTTATGGTCCTTAACGAGCTACTTATAGTGTTTTAAAGAAATATATTTTCAGTGGCAGCGTTGGTACTGTCGAATTCACAAATAATGAATTACTGAAAAGTAGAAAAAACAACAACTAAATAGCAGCGTATGTTATGCCGCGGGCCGGCTCGTTAGACATATTCTAGCTAGATAGATCTAGATCTAGATAGATAAATCACAAAGATTTATATCAAGTATTTAAGGACTAAAAATGTATTATGATTATAAAATGGATTGTATTTTTATCTAATTAATCTTTGGTATGTATCTAATTAATCTTTGGTTTGACCTAGATTCTAGATCTAGATCTATAAATAACTTGCTTGGCCACCTGATATTTTTAGATCTATAAATAACTTTCTTGGACAGATTGTAGAGCTAGAGAAATTTATTGTAAAACTAAATGAAAAAGACAGTTAAAAATTTATATAAGTGTTGGAACGTAATAAAAACAGCAAACGGATGTATTGTTAAAGTTATAGCCGACAGAAAATTAGCTTTAGAACGCGTTAAACTTTTGAATGGGCCACAAAGTCTGTGATGGAAGCCGCCATCTTATTGTACTAAAAAGTAAAAAAAAACTTGTGTTGACGTCACTATTCAGTCAAGGTAAAGCCATTGTTCTAAAACTTTAAAATTAATGTGGTTAATCTACCAATGAATAAATCAATAAATTAATTAACGTCTTTAAATAAATTTGTGATTAACAGTTTGTCTGAAAACAAAAATTGTTATCTACCTACGTACTGTTTTACAGCTCTCCACCTAGCGCCGATTCTTTCCAGTATTCAATCAGACAAACAAAAAAAAAACAATAAATAAACATTCAAACATGTAAACAAACTTGAGTTTTAGTAGTATAGAGATGGATAGATAGATAATAGAATCTCTTAGAAATAAGAATTACACACTAAGTGAACGGCAAACAATATCTGTATAACAGTGCGGAATATTGGTACTTTATAAATCCTTATTCGTTTTTCGAGATATTTGAGAAAGCGTAAATTACTATTTCCGGTCAACGGAAATGAATCAAAATTCGACAGAAGGCAGAAAATTAGATAAATTACTTACTTGTGAAAATTCGTTTATCTATCGGAAACAGTACTCAATTTATAGGCTTATGAAAAACTAAAAGTAGAATACGTTGAACTTCCGGTTATCGGAAATCTTTGAAAAGTCGATACAGAACTACAAATTTAATATAATACTTTTATATGAAATTTTATCAACTTAGCTGTATCGGCACTCAAGTTATCGTGTTCTCAGACAGACACACACACACAGACATACGGACAAAATTGCAAAACTATGTTTTTCCGACTCAGGGACCTGTAAAACGTTGAGATTTGTGAAAAATTCAAAACTCGATTTCGATTTTTTGCACGATTACAATACTTCCTCTATACTTCGTATACGAGAAAGCAAAAATAGTTTGCTGTAACTTTACTGAAGCTATGTTGGTTTAACAAAAAAAAAATGAATAAATAAAACCTAGACGCTCAGTGATGAAAGCTTAACATAAGGCCGGTTATAGAATGCAAACCTATCACTGAGCTCCCATTGAAAACATATATATATTCTCCATAAGTGAGCGCCCAGGCTTCTATTTTTAGTCATACCAGCATATTTTAGTTAGTTTACACCTAACGAAATTAATTTTTGTACTTAAAAAAATTAAGTTATCTGCCCCAAATTTGTTCTTTGTTGACTATAGGGTTCAAAATCAGCCATCCGTGAAATGAATACAAAATCACTATCAACATTCCTCTGGTCAGCGATTGCTAGTATATTTTTCTATCTTGTTATCTCCCATTTTATTAATGAATAATTTTAAAATTACATTTTAATGAGGAACTAGCCATCGGTACCCGTTTCACGTGAATTATAGGCCTATATATTTTAAAATGTTGAACTTGTTTGAGAAAAAATAATTTATAAAATAGTTATTGGTCAAAACGCAATGTGCATTATTACACGCTGAACGATATTACTGACAAAGCAAAGAAATAACTAATTAGCTAAAAATAAGACATATTTAACATAACACAGGCACACACTGATTAAGTGACTTAAATGATTCCGTTAAAAACTCGGCTATTCCACGGTATTCTTCTTGTTTTTAAAGTGATTTATTTTTATTAGGTTTTAATGAATAGATCAATAGATTTAAATGAAACGAGCCGACCCGCGGCATATCATATGCCGCTATTTAGTTGTTTTATTTTCTACTTTTCAGTAATTCATAATTTGTTATTTCGACAGTACCAATGCTGCAACTGAAAAATATTTGCTTTAAAACACTATCAGTAGGTCCCCCAACCCCTACCCCAACCTCTTTTCCCCCAACCCCTACCCTACATCCCCCACCCTCCCCTCCCCCCCCCCCCCCCCCGTGAAAGCAGCCTCCTCTAAGTTACCTTCCTTAAGTTTAAAATCGTTTCAAACTAAATTATCTGCTTTTAATAGCCGTCACTAAACCCGGCTCTACGAATGTTAACATTTAGCGTGAACCACAGCTCACCAGACCATGTAGGGGTGGGGTGGTAGGGAGCGCGCTTACAGCTTGTTTCTAGCGTCTCCCAGAAGAGTATTATATATATATAGATAGATATATAGATAGATAGTTCATTTATTCATCGGTAACCATGCCATATTAAATGCACTCGCTGATTAAGAAACTTAAAATTAAGAGACTTAAAAGATTTCTTTAAAAACCCGGCGGTTCAATGGTAGTTCTGTTGTTTTTAGTAGATAGATCTGGATTCTAGTCTAACTCCAGATCTTAGCGTCTACGTCTAGTTTTTCCGTAGATCTAGTCTAGATCTAGAATCGAGATCTAGATCTATATCTAGAATCCAAATAGATAATATAAAAACTTTTAAAAGTTTAGGTCGAGAAAATCGTATTGTATACATTTCATGGCGTACGTACGTAGAATCTAGCTCTAAATCATATTTGAATGAAATAGTTCATTTCTTTATTTTATTCTAAACTCGGAAGATGACGTCATCAGTTTCGCGCTCTTTTTTTAGTGTAAACAATAAGCGACGTCATTGTTAAATGCGTTCTTGTCCCAAGTATAAACATTTTTCCGGTGGCATAATGAAAATTGTTTTTCTACATTCGAATACGCCTTTATTTTTTATTTTTCTTCTATAAATAAAATTGTGGTTATACATTTACCCCCCCCCCCCAACATACCATCTGAATCTACCTTTTATTATCTCCCCCCCCCCTAAAAAAATACCATCTGAATCTACATTTTATTATGCCCCCCCCCCCCAAACATACCATCTGAATCTACGTTTTATTATGCCCCCCCCCCCCCCAAAAAAAAATACCATCTGAATCTACCTTTTATTATGCCCCCCAACATACCATCTGAATCTACCTATTATGCCCCCCCAACATACCATCTTAATCTACATTTTATTATGCCCCCCCCCAACATACCATCTTAATCTACCTTTTATTATGCCCCCCCCCCCAACATACCATCTGAATCTACCTTTTATTAAGCCCCCCTCTTAACATATCTGAATCTACCTTTTATTATTAGTATGCCCCCCCCCCCCCAACATTCCATCTGAATCTACATTTTATTATGCCCCCCAACATACCATCTGAATCTACCTATTATTATGCCCCCAACATACCATCTGAATCTACATTTTATTATGCCCCCCCCCCCAACATTCCATCTGAATCTACATTTTATTATGCCCCCCCCCAACATTCCATCTGAATCTACATTTTATTATGCCCCCCCCCCCAACATACCATCTGAATCTACCTTTTATTTTGCCCCCCCCCCAACATACCATCTGAATCTACCTTTTATTATGCCCCCCCCCCCAACATACCATCTGAATCTACCTTTTATTATGCCCCCCCCCCCCAACATACCATCTGAATCTACCTTTTATTTTGCCCCCCCCCCCCACATACCATCTGAATCAACCTTTTATTATGCCCCCCAACATACCATCTGAATCTACCTTTTATTTTGCCCCCCCCCCCCCCCAACATACCATCTGAATCTTTTATCTTTGATGTCATCCACAGGCTGACTACGTCCCTCTATACCTCATTGGTGACCATCACTGATCCAGAATGAGGCTGGCTTTTCAACAGAGGCTAACGCGTTTTCTAGGTGTGTTTTTCTAAGCTCCATGACATTTTGGTTTTCACTAGGTGTGTTTTTCTAAGCTCCATGACATTTTGGTTTTCACTAGATGTGTTTTTCTAAGCTCCATGACATTTTGGTTTTCACTAGGTGTGTTTTTCTAAGCTCCATGACATTTTGGTTTTCACTAGATGTGTTTTTCTAAGCTCCATGACATTTTGGTTTTCACTAGGTGTGTTTTTCTAAGCTCCATGACATTTTGGTTTTCACACAGGAATGCTGCACAGCCCACCCGTCCCAAACGAAAATGGGTGACGAAATGCCCCCACCCTCCAACCGCAATAAGAGACGCAATTCCCCCCCCCCTCCCCCACCCCCCCCCCCCCGATACAAAAGACCATATAACGTAAACAATACAGTTTGGAAACAAACGAGTTTTAAAGCACGTAAACAACATTTGTATTTTTTAAATAGGGAGATCCCCAAGTTATGAAGTGTTTGTCTAAACTCTTTGTGTGTGTGTATCTAATCAATACGTGTTCGTGTCTGTGTTTTTCGCATATGTGTTGTGTCTGTGTTTTGGGCATATGTGTTGTCTGTTTTTTGGGCATATGTGTTGTATGTGTATGTGACTGGCATTGTTTACATACAATAAAAGACGTGACTGCTGTGCTTCTATCCTAACGAAGCAGCTTCTGTCCTCTTGCTGATCGATGACCACATTCGTTCATCGATCGCTAACCGACCCCCCCTACACACACAAAAGCGTTGTAGAGAAAAAAAGAAAAAATCTCAATGTTCACGTCAGGCGTGTTCACGTATACATTGTGATAGATATGTGTCGTTTACAGTATACATGTATGTGTCCGTGTGTGTTTGAAAGATTCAACTATTACAGACCACTAGCCATAAATCACAAGACAAATCTAGAGATAATTAGTAAGTAAGGCAGCCCTATATAACAACCAGTACACTCGACACAACCTCTCTATACCAACACTAGCTGCATCCCGTGCTCCGCCACGGTAAATCTTTTTAAAATGTACCAACTTTGGAACAGAAAAAAAAACACAACACAAACAAACCACAACACAACCACAACCCAACCACAACACACGGTAAATCTTTTTTAAATGTACCAAGTTGGGAACAGAACAAAACTAAACACAACACAAACGAAAAACCCTTCCCCTCCCCCCCTCCCGCAAATGTTTTCCAACCCACATTGGCGCCCCCTAAGGTCGGCGCCCTGGGACATATGCCCCCCTCCCCTTGCTACGCCTCTGCTATAAAACCCCTAGCTTGTCCGCAAACTGAAAGATAGAATAATAATTAGTAAACAACACGTTCAGTGTATAAAATAAATTAAAGGCATAATTTAGAATATCCGTGTTTTACCGACCATATTGCACTTTATAAATTCATGCATTTTTTTCAGTACTTTTTAAAATTTACAATAAAGTTTCATGACTAAAACCATTGCGCACCTAATGAACGTGATGACTTTATATAATAATGGGGAATAGTTGATTAAAAATTATAATTAGTAAACAGAACGTTCAGTGAATAAAATAAATAAAATATAGCTTTTTATCAATCAATGCTAATTATAATATTCCAACAATAATGTACTCTTACACGTCTGCATAATTTGCATTCACATTTTGCTAATTATATTATTCCAACAATTATTCCGTCTTGCAGATTTTGCAGTCACATTTTTAGCGTGAGCTCAATTTATTTTTAAAATACCTCCCTTGGCAAAAGTACTAAACAGTTTAATTAGATTTTTCTAACCTACTGTTATTATTTTATTAAAATGTATCCACTTTTTCTAGGAATATTAACGAAAACAATATTTGACATTGATCCTTTTAATATGTTTTAGCAATGTGCGTGTATTTAATATTCTCTTTACGTTATGGAAAATTGTACAAACAGTGGAAATTATAAAATAGCTCTATTTCCTTATATAAACAAACCCTACTCTATTACTTACAATAAGACACTTCGGTGCACTGAAAAGCACTGCAAGGTGCATTGTTTACTTTTATGGTTTCAAAATCTATAGCGATGACAGAAGGACTGACACACGCTCAGCCCGCTTATATTATAGATACCAGACAACATTACAATCCACATAGTACAAACCCGACACAACACCAAAACAAAACCACATAGGACATCCTAGTCACACATTCTCAAATAAATTACAAACTTTAAACACAAAAGTCATCAACAGTAAAATCACTTCCATTGATCAACCGAGAAAAATCACTAGGGTCCGGGGAAGGGGGGGGGGGGGGGGGGGGGCGAATCAGTATTACGTTTATGGAGGCCGCCCTTTTCAGTAATTTAAATAATATTAATAGTGTATTATTATATGTTTAAATAAAATAATGTATTTTCTCCTTTTTAGTGCATGAACCAAATAATGCGGGAGTAATCTCCTCTTAACTTATATAACACTACGGGGGATGGCTACTCGGGATATAGACATGATTTTTAATCCATTTTTAATTAATTAAACTTTTTTAAACGTAATAGAAAAAAATAATTGCGAACCAAGTGAACGGCAAACAATATGTGCATAATAATAGTGCTGAATATTAGTACTTTATAAATTCATATGCGTTTTTTGAGAAATCGGAACTGCGTAAATTACTACTTTCGGTCAACGGAAATTAAGTAAAATTTGACAGAAGGCAGATAATTAGATCTTTTATCTACATGTGAAATTTCGTTTATCTTTCTGAAACAGTACTCAAGTTATAGGCTTTTAAAAAAACTAAAAGTAGAATAAGTTGCACGTCCGGTTATCAGAAAACGCTGAAAAGTCGATACAGAACTACAAGTTTGATATCATAATTATCTTCTATATATATAATTCTTTTCTTGGAGACGATAGAAAACACCAAGCTGTAAGCGCGCTCCCTACCACCCCCACCCCTTCATGGTCTGGTGAGCTGTGGTTCACGCTAAATGTTTACAATCGTAGAGCCGGGTTTAGTGAAGGTTATTAGGGGCAGATAATTTAGTTTGAAGCGATTTTAAACTTAGGGGAGGTAACCAAGAGGAGGCTGCTTTCACGGAGGGGAGGGGGGGGGAGGGGTTGGGGAAAGGGGAGGGGGGGGGGCGTTATCGTCCTTAACGAGCTACTGATAGTGTTTTAAAGCAAATATATTAAGTGGCAGCATTGGAACTGTCGAATTCACAAATTATGAATTACTGAAAAGTAGAAAAAACAACAACTAAATAGCGGCGTATGATATGTCGCGGGTCTGCTCGTATACGAAATTTCATCAACCTAGCTGTTACGGTACTCAAGTTCTTGATCACAGACACACATACATACACACGCACAGACATATGGACAAAATTGCAAAACTATGTTTTTCCGACTCAGGGAGGCGTAAATCGTCTAGATTTGTGAAAATCTAGACTTCGATTTTTTGCACGCTTACAATGCCATTTTTTAATCATTTATCGAAACGGGCGTTAGAAATTTTCGGCACTTAAAACTGACAGATTATAGGATACCTTTCCTAATATTTAGGAAAAGAACAACCCATCGAATTATTTGAAATTGACGTTACCAGGTTTAGATTTTAGGGAACTAACTACGTATGACATGTGAATGTGTCCCATATTTCTCATGTTCTGCCTGTGAATGTGTCACATATTTCTCATGTTATGCCTGTGAATGTGTCCCATATTTCTCATGTTCTGCCTGTGAATGTGTCCCATATTTCTCATGTTCTGCCTGTGAATGTGTCCCATATTTCTCATGTTCTGCCTGTGAATGTGTCCCATATTTCTCATGTTCTGCCTGTGAATGTGTCCCATATTTCTCGTGTTTTCTAGGGACCCGAGGTGAAGCAGCGCTGGGCGTAAGTCAGCTGTTCAGGAGCAAGGCAAGGGTGCTCACTCTGCTTCTAGTGCTGCTTCTGTTCACCTATGCAGGTAATTAACTTGGGCAATTTGTCGTGTCAATTCAGCTTTGAGCAATCATTGCGTCATTTAAGCTTTGATAAAATTGTTGTGTCACTTAAGCTTTGAGCAAACCGTTGTGTCATTTCAGACACACGCACTAGCATATTGTATCGATTAATTCATTGTCTATCACTTTGACCCTCATATCTGTGCTATATCCACTCATTATCTCCACTTGATCCACTCATTATCTCCACTTGATCCACTCATTATCTCCACTTGATCCACTCATTATCTCCACTTGATCCATTCATTATCTCCACTTGATCCATTCATTATCTCCACTTGATCCACTCATTATCTCCACTTGATCCATTCATTATCTCCACTTGATCCACTCATTATCTCCACTTGATCCACTCATTATCTCCACTTGATCCACTCATTATCTCCACTTGATCCACTCATTATCTCCACTTGATCCATTCATTATCTCCACTTGATCCACTCATTATCTCCACTTGATCCATTCATTATCTCCACTTGATCCACTCATTATCTCACCTTGATCCACTCATTATCTCCACTTGATCCATTGATCCACTCATTATCTCCACTTGATCCATTCATTATCTCCACTTGATCCGCTCATTATCTCCACTTGATCCATTCATTATCTCCACTTGATCCACTCATTATCTCCCCTTGATCCATTCATTATCTCACCTTGATCCATTGATCCATTCATTATCTCCACTTGATCCACTCATTATCTCCCCTTGATCCACTCATTATCTCCCCTTGATCCGCTCATTATCTCCACTTGATCCATTCATTATCTCCACTTGATCCACTCATTATCTCCCCTGGACCAAATGACTGTCATCCTAAATAATTATCATTAAAAAAGTTTTAAAAAAAACCACGTTTTCTGATTGAACTAAAAAGTAGAAAATAAATACTATACATCACAATAATGCAAGCGATCACTCTACTATAAATGATGAAAAACGTGGGGCGCCGAAGTAAAAGTTTTTTATCGGTCATTGTTAATAAAAGATGAATAAGTTATATTACGATTGATTAGATAATACTATTGACTTTTATAATGGAGCTTGTAGAGAGTCAACAGTATTAGAAACTGTAAGAAAATCACGGCGCCCCACGTTTTTCATCGCTTATAGTAGAGTGATCGCTTGCATTATTGTGATGTATAGTATTTATTTTCTACTTTTTAGTTCAATCAGAAAACGTGGGTTTTTTAAAACTTTTTTAATGATAATTATTTTCTACTTTTTAGTCTTTGTCTGTTTGTTTGCATTCAAATCTTGCTATCGATTTTATCTTCTCGCATTCACTTTTTTTGGGTAAACGAAGACAACTCGTAAAACACACGTGCCTTTTCCAATTTGCATAGGTTTGTACACAAACACCGCGTGACCACTACTCAGTAAGCCAAAAGAGGGAGAGTACCGAACCTTGTTTTCATCAAATTACAATTACTGGGTTATGTCCCTTTTTCCCACGTTTTTTGTACAAATATATAGGGGTGTAAAATGATCAATAAAATGTTTCCATGGATCAATTTAGTAATAATAACAATTGAATATTCTATTGTCATCGGAAACAAAGCTTCCCTAAAAATTTCAGCGCGCTAGCTAACTGTGAAGTGCCCGAAATTTCGATCGCAAGATTTGATTGGAGAACCAAACAAACAAACAAACAAACAGACGCAAAAGCAAGTTAAAGAAAACGTGGGAAAATTGATGAATCATGTTTTTCAGGTTTTCAACTCCTGTACATGCCAGTAGACATGAACATAGTGAGTATGGGTGTCTAGACAAAGCTTAATCCTGACCTTAGATTTCTACAATATATTTGTTTGTCTCTTGGACACATCTTAATGTTTTAGGAAATTATTGAAAAAAACTTTTCATGTTTTATGAAGTAAAAGTCAAATCATTCACATTTTATAAACTATCGAATGCAACCAAGTGTCTAAAGAGTAAAGTATCTCTTTGACTGTCTTTCAGTGCCAGAAAACGCCCAGATTAAAAGAGACGAGTCAGGCAGAAGAAGACAACATCACCATTGTTACAATGTATCTCAACATCGGCACCTACAAGAAAACCTCCTTTTTATTCTTCTCCAAAGAGTGGTTTGGCACCAGCCACTACAGGGACTGGCTCTTTTCCTGGGGCAAACTCAACAACAGAGTCATAGCATTTTTTGATGACGAGGAGTTTATTCATCAGTTTAGGTAACATGGACTTATGTGTAATCATTCGCAACTTGTAAGTGTAGACATGGAGTTATGTTTGATCATTCACAACTTGTAAGTGTAGACATGGACTTATGTGTAATCATTCGCAACTTGTAAGTGTAGGCATGGAGTTATGTGTGATCATTCACAACTTGTAAGTGTAGACATGGACTTATGTGTAATCATTCGCAACTTGTAAGTGTAGACATGGAGTTATGTTTGATCATTCACAACTTGTAAGTGTAGGCATGGAGTTATGTGTGATCATTCACAACTTGTAAGTGTAGGCATGGAGTTATGTGTGATCATTCACAACTTGTAAGTGTAGGCATGGACTTATGTGTAATCATTTGCAACTTGTAAGTGTAGACATGGAGTTATGTGTGATCATTCACAACTTGTAAGTGTAGGCATGGAGTTATGTGTGATCATTCACAACTTGTAAGTGTAGGCATGGAGTTATGTGTGATCTTTCACAACTTGTAAGTGTAGGCATGGAGTTATGTGTGATCATCCACAACTTGTAAGTGTAGGCATGGAGTTATGTGTAATCATTCACAACTTGTAAGTGTAGGCTTGAAGGGAGGTCAGCGTGTAGGATTTTGGTTTCAGATTTCAAATTTTCAATTTGTTTTGGTAGTCCATGGATTGTGTTGACTAGAGTGCTGAAAGATTTGTTTGTTTTGGTAGTCCATGGATTGTGTTGACTAGAGTGCCAAATGGTTTGTTTGTTTTGGTAGTCCATGGATTGTGTTGACTAGAGTGCCAAATGGTTTGTTTGTTTTGGTAGTCCATGGATCGTGTTGACTAGAATGCCGAATGGTTTGTTTGTTTTGGCAGGTTGAGGCGAGCCCATCTACCAGAAGACTACACCAAAATTGTCAAGATCAACCGTCAAGATCTGTCAGCCTTCAAGTATCAGGAGCGGGTGAGAGAGATCACTGCCCAGCCCAGCTTCACCGTCTCCTACCCACCTGAGTACACCTGCACTATGGACGCCAAGTATGATGCTCTACAGATGGCGCTTGAGATGGAGGACATCAAGACAAACTATTTGGCCTGGATGGACATTGGTCTCTTTAGGTCAGTGGTCGCTTTAGGTCAATGGTCTCTTTAGGTCAATGATCTCTTTAGGTCAGTGGTCACTTTAGGTCAGTGGTCACTTTATGTTAGTGGTCTTTTTAGGTCAGTGGTCACTTTATGTTAGTGGTCACTTTAGGTCAGTGGTCACTTTAGGTCAGTGGTCACTTTATGTTAGTGGTCACTTTAGGTCAGTGTTCTCTATAGGTCCTTGCTCTCTGTAGGCCATGCCTCTCTTCAGAGGCGTAGCGAGGGAGGGGGGGGGGGGTCGGGGGGTGCGGACCGCACCGGATGACACCATTTAGGGGGGTGACACCAAGGCAAAAAATAGAAAAATATATAGAGAAAAACTTTCAGTGAGTCTTCTGGATTTAATAACAATGAATCAAAGCAATCTTCTGAGCACTAACTGAAAAATAAGGATATCATCATTTATTTGTATAAAGATCATCACTTTCATCACATATTTAGATAGAATTCTGCACTTTTATCATCAACATATATAAAAAGCAATGTTTTGTTTTTCATCTGATCGCCATGAAACTGTGGGAAGTTGATTAGAACACTCCAAACGAGGTTTCTGCAAATTTTAAATTTCGGATGCGATTTGACACCGTTCACTGAGTGCCACGAAACATTTTTTCTCCTCAGAATAATTCCGAGATGGCTTCTGCGGGGAAAAAAATCAATTTTTTGCATGGTCAGCACCCATTTTTAGCCCCGGCCTTTCCCATTAGCGCTATGGCGCCTACGTTCGTTTTAAAAAGTGAGATATACTATGGATAATTTAGGGGGTTATACTCGTTCACTAAATTGAATCAGGCGCGACCGCCGCCGGCACCCGCAAAAGGTTGCAATTTGGCGCCACGGGCTAATCCGTGACCGCTATGACGCCTACGTTCGTTTTAAACAGTGCAATAGACTGTGGATAAAATGGGGCATTATAGTCGTTCAATAAATTGTTATTATAGTCATTCAGTAAATAAAATTAGGCACGTCCGCCGGCGCCCCTGTCTATTCTGTGAGCACTATGGCGCCTACGTTAGTATTAAGGAGCATCCTACAATATTGGCACGATGGCACACGATGATTAAACCGAGCCAGGGTCGCCCCTTTGGTAGTGTAATCGGTGGCTACCGATAGCGCCCATATACGTGCCTGACATCTGGGCGGTCACCGAAGTGTGTTCTACCTCACTATTTCTGATAGTGGTTAGAGTACACTAAAGGCTTTCATACACCCCGCCCCAGGGCGTACTGGGCGGCAGTGTAGGTAAACAGTGCCCCGATAAATATGATATAAGAAATATAGGCATTGTTTACATTTAAATAACTCAGATTTAGAAAACAAGGTTACATGTCTATAGGATTGGTAACGCAATGATGAAACCCTCTTAAAATATTAGGTCGTAATAGGCCACGACAATGTGCAGACGGGCACGCTAGTCTATTTATATAAAGTTAAATCACTTCAATCTCGTTGAAGCCTTTCTGTTTAAAATCCACATTTTCCTTACACAACTGTTTCACTCCTCTTTGCCCTCCCCTCTCTGTCCCCTGCTCTCTCTCCCCTCTTTTCTGTTTCCGCCTCTCTGATATTCAAACACATCATATATATATATATATATATATATATATATATATATATATATATATATATATATATATATATATATATATATATAAATATACATATATATGCTGTATTCCAATGCCACCATTTGAACTTTGGTCGCAGAAAGATCCAGTTGGAAGACCCGCCATTCTTGTTGAAAGTTCCAGCAGATTTCAACTCCTCCAAAGTTGGTTTTTCTCAAGTCTCGCCCTACAAGTCCATCTCAGACCTGACTCCAGAGGAGATTTATCAGCGCAATCTGGTCTGGGTGGCGGGTGGATTTGTTCTAGGGACAAAGAAGGTGGGTACATTTGTAGCTCATTGATTTGTTCTAGGGATAAAGTAGGTGGGTACATTTGTAGCTCATGGATTTGTTCTAGGGACAAAGAAGGTGGGTACATTTGTAGCTCATGGATTTGTACTGGATTAATAGGTTGTAACTTTTGTTTTTGTGCATAAAGTACAAGTTACACTTGAAATTGTCTATCTGCAGGTATTGTCTGAGTTTGTATGTGTCTATCTGCAGGTATTGTCTGAGTTTGTATGTGTCTATCTGCAGGTATTGTCTGAGTTTGTATGTGTCTATCTGCAGGTATTGTCTGAGTTTGTATGTGTCTATCTGCAGGTATTGTCTGAGTTTGTATGTGTCTATCTGCAGGTATTGTCTGAGTTTGTATGTGTCTATCTGCAGGTATTGTCTGAGTTTGTATGTGTCTATCTGCAGGTATTGTCTGAGTTTGTATGTGTCTATCTGCAGGTATTGTCTGAGTTTGTATGTGTCTATCTGCAGGTGTTGTCTTAGTTTGTATGTGTCTATCTGCAGGTATTGTCTGCGTTTGTATGTGTCTATCTGCAGGTATTGTCTGAGTTTGTCTATCTGCAGGTATTGTCTGAGTTTGTCTATCTGCAGGTATTGTCTGAGTTTGTCTATCTGCAGGTATTGTCTGAGTTTGTCTATCTGCAGGTATTGTCTGAGTTTGTCTATCTGCAGGTATTGTCTGAGTTTGTCTATCTGCAGGTATTGTCTGAGTTTGTCTATCTGCAGGTATTGTCTGTGTCCATCTGCAGGTATTGTCTGTGTCTATATGCAGGTATTGTCTGAGTTTGTATGTGTCTATCTGCAGGTATTGTCTGAGTTTGTATGTGTCTATATGCAGGTATTGTCTGAGTTTGTATGTGTCTATCTGCAGGTATTGTCTGAGTTTGTATGTGTCTATATGCAGGTATTGTCTGAGTTTGTATGTGTCTATCTGCAGGTATTGTCTGAGTTTGTATGTGTCTATCTGCAGGTATTGTCTGAGTTTGTATTTGTCTATCTGCAGGTATTGTCTGAGTTTGTATTTGTCTATCTGCAGGTATTGTCTGAGTTTGTATGTGTCTATCTGCAGGTATTGTCTGAGTTTGTATTTGTCTATCTGCAGGTATTGTCTGAGTTTGTATGTGTCTATCTGCAGGTATTGTCTGAGTTTGTATGTCTATCTGCAGGTATTGTCTGAGTTTGTCTATCTGCAGGTATTGTCTGAGTTTGTCTATCTGCAGGTATTGTCTGAGTTTGTCTATCTGCAGGTATTGTCTGTGTCCATCTGCAGGTATTGTCTGTGTCTATATGCAGGTATTGTCTGAGTTTGTATTTGTCTATCTGCAGGTATTGTCTGAGTTTGTATTTGTCTATCTGCAGGTATTGTCTGAGTTTGTATGTGTCTATCTGCAGGTATTGTCTGAGTTTGTATTTGTCTATCTGCAGGTATTGTCTGAGTTTGTATGTGTCTATCTGCAGGTATTGTCTGAGTTTGTATGTCTATCTGCAGGTATTGTCTGAGTTTGTCTATCTGCAGGTATTGTCTGAGTTTGTCTATCTGCAGGTATTGTCTGAGTTTGTCTATCTGCAGGTATTGTCTGAGTTTGTCTATCTGCAGGTATTGTCTGTGTCCATCTGCAGGTATTGTCTGTGTCTATATGCAGGTATTGTCTGAGTTTGTATTTGTCTATCTGCAGGTATTGTCTGAGTTTGTATTTGTCTATCTGCAGGTATTGTCTGAGTTTGTATGTGTCTATCTGCAGGTATTGTCTGAGTTTGTATTTGTCTATCTGCAGGTATTGTCTGAGTTTGTATGTGTCTATCTGCAGGTATTGTCTGAGTTTGTATGTCTATCTGCAGGTATTGTCTGAGTTTGTATGTGTCTATCTGCAGGTATTGTCTGAGTTTGTATTTGTCTATCTGCAGGTATTGTCTGAGTTTGTATGTGTCTATCTGCAGGTATTGTCTGAGTTTGTATGTCTATCTGCAGGTATTGTCTGAGTTTGTCTATCTGCAGGTATTGTCTGAGTTTGTCTATCTGCAGGTATTGTCTGAGTTTGTATTTGTCTATCTGCAGGTATTGTCTGAGTTTGTATGTGTCTATCTGCAGGTATTGTCTGAGTTTGTATTTGTCTATCTGCAGGTATTGTCTGAGTTTGTATGTGTCTATCTGCAGGTATTGTCTGAGTTTGTATTTGTCTATCTGCAGGTATTGTCTGAGTTTGTATGTGTCTATCTGCAGGTATTGTCTGAGTTTGTGTGTCTATCTGCAGGTATTGTCTGAGTTTGTATGTGTCTATCTGCAGGTATTGTCTGAGTTTGTATGTGTCTATCTGCAGGTATTGTCTGAGTTTGTATGTCTATCTGCAGGTATTGTCTGAGTTTGTATGTGTCTATCTGCAGGTATTGTCTGAGTTTGTGTGTATCTGCAGGTATTGTCTGAGTTTGTATGTCTATCTGCAGGTATTGTCTGAGTTTGTATGTCTATCTGCAGGTATTGCTGAGTTTGTATGTGTCTATCTGCAGGTATTGTCTGAGTTTGTATTTGTCTATCTGCAGGTATTGTCTGAGTTTGTATGTGTCTATCTGCAGGTATTGTCTGTGTCTATCTGCAGGTATTGTCTGTGTCTATCTGCAGGTATTGTCTGAGTTTGTATTTGTCTATCTGCAGGTATTGTCTGAGTTTGTATGTGTCTATCTGCAGTTGTTATCTGAGTTTGCCTATCTGCAGGTATTGTCTGAGTTTGTATGTGTCTATCTGCAGGTGTTGTCTTAGTTTGTATGTGTCTTTCTGCAGTTGTTATCTGAGTTTGTCTACCTGCAGGTACTGTCTGAGTTTGTATGTGTCTATCTGCAGTTGTTATCTGAGTTTGTCTATCTGCAGTTGTTATCTGAGTTTGTCTATCTGCAGGTATTGTATGTGTCTATCTGCAGGTACTGTCTGAGTTTATCAGCGCCTACAAGACGACCGTCCAGACACTACTGGGGCGGGGCCTGGCCGACACTGACCAGCAGGTCGTCGCCTCCATGTACTCCTCCAAACTGGCCTGGCAGCAGAAGGTCCAGATCATGACCTACGCCTGTCCCAGGGGCTCCTTCAACTTGTTTGGCTACGCCTACCTGTACTTCTGCCTGCCTTACATCTGTAGGGCCACCAGCCAGTGTCGGTCTCAGCAGCTCCACACTTTCAAGTACCTGCCCACACCCTGACACCACCCACACCCTGACACCACCCACACCCTGACACCACCCACACATTGACACCACCCACACCATGACACCACCCACACCATGACACCACCCACACCCTGACACCACCCACACCATGACACCACCCACACCATGACACCACCCACACACTGACACCACCCACACCCTGACACCATCCACACATTGACACCACCCACACCATGACACCACCCACACATTGACACCACCCACACCCTGACTCCACCCACACATTGACACCACCCACACATTGACACCACCAACACCTGACACCACCCACACATTGACACCACCAACACCTGACACCACCCACACATTGACACCACCCACACCCTGACACCACCCACACATTGACACCACCCACACCCTGACACCACCCACACATTGACACCACCCACACCCTGACACCACCCACACATTGATACCACCCACACATTGACACCACCAACACCTGACTCCACCCACACCCTGACACCACCCACACCCTGACACCATCCACACCCTGACTCCACCCACACATTGACACCACCCACACACTGACACCACCAACACCTGACTCCACCCACACACTGACACCAACCACACCCTGACACCACCCACACATTGACACCACCCACACATTGACACCACCAACACCTGACTCCACCCACACCTGACACCACCCACACATTGACACCACCCACACACTGACACCACCCACACATTGACACCACCCACACACTGACACCACCCACACCTGACTCAACCCACACACTGACACCACCCACACCCTGACACCACCCACACATTGACACCACCCACACATTGACACCACCAACACCTGACTCCACCCACACACTGACACCACCCACACCCTGACACCACCCACACATTGACACCACCCACACATTGACACCACCCACACATTGACACCACCAACACCTGACACCACCCACACATTGACACCACCAACACCTGACACCACCCACACATTGACACCACCCACACCCTGACACCACCCACACATTGACACCACCAACACCTGACACCACCCACACATTGACACCACCCACACCCTGACACCACCCACACATTGACACCACCAACACCTGACACCACCCACACATTGACACCACCCACACCCTGACACCACCCACACCCTGACACCACCCACACATTGACACCACCCACACACTGACACCACCCACACCCTGACACCACCCACACACGGAGACCACCCACACATTGACACCACCCACACATTGACACCACCCACACACTGACACCACCCACACATTGACACCACCCACACATTGACACCACCCACACATTGACACCACCCACACATTGACACCACCCACACATTGACACCACCCACACATTGACACCACCCACACCATGACACCACCCACACATTGACACCACCCACACATTGACACCACCCACACCCTGACACCACCCACACCCTGACACCACCCACACATTGACACCACCCACACCCTGACACCACCCACACATTGACACCACCCACACCCTGACACCACCCACACATTGACCCCACCCACATCCTGACACCACCCACACACGGAGACCACACACACATTGACACCACCCACACCGTGACACCACCCATACACGGAGACCACCCACACATTGACACCACCCACACCCTGACACCACCCACACATTGACACCACCCACACCTTGACACCACCCACACCCTGACACCACCCACACATTCACACCACCCACACCCTGACACCACCCACACATTGACACCACCCACACCCTGACACCACCCACACCCTGACACCACCCACACCCTGACACCACCCACACACTGACACCACCCACACCCTGACACCACCCACACCCTGACACCACCCACACCCTGACACCACCCACACCCTGACACCACCCACACATTGACACCACCCACACCCTGACACCATCCACACCCTGACACCACCCACACCCTGACACCACCCACACCCTAACACCACCCACACCCTGACACCACCCACACCCTGACACCACCCACACCCTGACACCACCCACACATTGACACCACCCACACCCTGACACCACCCACACCCTGACACCACCACACACCCTGACATCACCCACACACTGAAACCACCCACACATTGACACCACCCACACCCTGACACCACCCACACCCTGACACCACCCACACCCTGACACCACCCACACATTGACACCACCCACACATTGACACCACCCACACACTGACACCACACACACATTGACACCACCCACACATTGACACCACCCACATATTGACACCACCCACACCCTGACACCACCCACACCCTGACACCACCCACACACTGACACCACCCACACATTGACACCACCCACACACTGACACCACACACACACTGACACCACCCACACACGGAGACCACCCACACATTGACACCACCCACACATTGACACCACCCACACATTGACACCACCCACACCCTGACACCACCCACACATTGACACCACCCACACATTGACACCCTGACACCACCCACACATTGACACCACCCACATCCTGACACCACCCACACACGGAGACCACACACACATTGACACCACCCACACCGTGACACCACCCATACACGGAGACCACCCACACATTGACACCACCCACACCCTGACACCACCCACACATTGACACCACCCACACCTTGACACCACCCACACATTCACACCACCCACACCCTGACACCACCCACACATTGACACCACCCACACCCTGACACCACCCACACCCTGACACCACCCACACCCTGACACCACCCACACATTGACACCACCCACACCCTGACACCACCCACACCCTGACACCACCACACACCCTGACATCACCCACACACTGAAACCACCCACACATTGACACCACCCACACCCTGACACCACCCACACCCTGACACCACCCACACCCTGACACCACCCACACATTGACACCACCCACACCTTGACACCACCCACATATTGACACCACCCACACCCTGACACCACCCACACCCTGACACCACCCACACACTGACACCACCCACACATTGACACCACCCACACACTGACACCACACACACACTGACACCACCCACACACTGACACCACCCACACATTGACACCCTGACACCACCCACACATTGACACCACCCACATCCTGACACCACCCACACACGGAGACCACACACACATTGACACCACCCACACCGTGACACCACCCATACACGGAGACCACCCACACATTGACACCACCCACACCCTGACACCACCCACACCCTGACACCACCCACACATTGACACCACCCACACCTTGACACCACCCACACATTGACACCACCCACACCCTGACACCACCCACACATTGACACCACCCACACCCTGACACCACCCACACATTGACACCACCCACACCCTGACACCACCCACACCCTGACACCATCCACACCCTGACACCACCCACACCCTGACACCACCCACACCCTGACACCACCCACACCCTGACACCACCCACACCCTGACACCACCCACACCCTGACACCACCCACACCCTGACACCACCCACACATTGACACCACCCACACACTGACACCACCCACACACTGACACCACCCACACACGGAGACCACCCACACATTGACACCACCCACACACTGACACCACCCACACACTGACACCACCCACACACTGACACACACTGTCAGATTGTCAGCATGCGCTCAAAACAAACCTACAATGTGTGACGTCATATTTGTCTGATCAGACTTGATGTGCATTATCCAAAGATGTATTGAAAACGGAAAATATTTCTCCAACACAAACTGCTGGCAAACTTTTCTCATGTCAGTAAACCAGCTGTCACGGATGAAAACAAGTTGTTTTTTCATGGGAAACATTTGTGTGGGGCGGATAACTCGTGGCTGGTGTAGTGAACTTGATGGTAAGCCTATCAAATGTTGATATGCTACCTGTAAGCCTATCAAATGTTGATATGCTACCTGTAAGCCTATCAAATGTTGATATGCTGTCAAAACAATGATCAAATCTTGACAACATTTTGACCATGTCAACAAAAGAACTGATTTGAAAGCACATTCTCATTGCTGTGCTGTGACCTGTCTAGAATATTTTCTTAGGTGCTGTTACCAAGTGAGCTCAACCATTTGTCATTCCCTGATTGGTGCATGCTTGTTTGGTCATTCCCTGATTGGTGCATGCTTGTTTTGTGTGGAAGCTTTTAGCTGGAACGTCTTGCCACTGAAGATCTGACTAATCTTGGCATGAGAACCACCCTGCTATGGAAGCACTGATCCAACATCACCTCTTGTATAGCACGTTTGTGTACACTTTTAATTACATTGCTATTGCTGAGTATCGTATGTTTTATCATTTTTAAATGATATTTTTAGAATATGTTCCTTTTCATCTGCTTTTTATTTTCAGTCATCAAATAAAATGTCAAATTGTTTGAGGTGACTGTTAAGATTATGATAACACAATTATTTTGTTTGACTTGAAATATTTTTTGTGTGGTGACACATTTGTGTATGTGGTGACATGATTGTGTATGTGGTGACACATTTGTGTATGTGGTGACATGATTGTGTATGTGGTGACACATTTGTGTATGTGGTGACACATTTGTGTATGTGGTGACATGATTGTGTATGTGGTGACACATTTGTGTATGTGGTGACATGATTGTGTATGTGGTGACACATTTGTGTATGTGGTGAGGTGACATGATTGTGGTGACACCATGTACACATTTGCAATGATCACGTGTTCACGGGGAACTGTTGCTGTAACAAAAATGTACACTTTATTGGTAATAATCTGTACACATTTTAAAACATTGTTTTTTTTTCTGCTGGATATTATGTTGACCTCCATATTTGACCTTTGTACTGGACATTATGTTGACCTACTTAGTTGACCTTTGTACTGGACATTATGTTGACCTCGAATGTTGTTAGCCTACAACATATTGATTATGTAAATGTTGTTAGTCTTACAACAGTAATGATGTATCCACTCGATGATATTATATTTTGACGTGTATGTTCCTCTTGATGTTCACAACTACAACTGATGTAGTAGTTCGACACATACGCCTACATGTCAGTACATGTTGTCATAATAAAATTGGCTCAAAACACGTTTTCAAACAATGAATGGCAGTGTGTTTATTTTAACGTCTGTCAGCTAAGACATGAACAAACAGCTTGGACTACCATAGTGACTACAGAACGTTTGATATGAATGGGACATTAGAGAGACGAAACATACGGGACATTGGGTGGGGCTGTAGAACTAGAAGGAAACATTTCTGTATCAGATGAGATCAAGCAAGTGTAAAGGTATAGGTAAACATACATGATTTCTTGTGGCAAATGTCCAAACAATACCTGTACCAGTGGCAAATGTCCAAACAATACATGTACCAGTGGCAAATGTCCAAACAATACATATACCAGTGGCAAATGTCCAAACAATACATGTACCAGTGGCAAATGTCCAAACAATACATGTACCAGTGGCAAATGTCCAAACAATACATGTACCAGTGGCAAATGTCCAAACAATACATGTACCAGTGGCACGACCATGCTGGTGTTCAGACCAGCACAGCAACAACAGACCACAACACCATGGACCACAACATCACTACCACACCATGACAGACCACATCATCACAGACCACAACATCACTACCACACCATGACAGACCACAACATCACAGACCACAACATCACTTACCACAACATCACTACCACACCATGACAGCCCACAACATCACAGACCACAACATCACTACCACACCATGACAGACCACAACATTACACACCACACCATGACAGACCACAACATCACAGACCACAACATCACTACCACAACATCACAGACCACAACATCACAGACCACACCATGACAGACCACAACATCACAGACCACAACATCACTACCACACCATGACAGACCACAACATCACAGACCACACCATGACAGACCACAACATCACTACCACACCATGACAGACCACATCATCACAGACCACAACATCACTACCACACCATGACAGACCACAACATCACAGACCACAACATCACTACCACACCATGACAGACCACAACATCACAGACCACAACATCACTACCACAACATCACTACCACACCATGACAGACCACAACATCACAGACCACAACATCACTACCACACCATGACAGACCACATCATCACAGACCACAACATCACTACCACACCATGACAGACCACAACATCACAGACCACACCATGACAGACCACAACATCACTGACCACAACATCACTACCACACCATGACAGACCACAACATCACAGACCACAACATCACTACCACAACATCATGGACCACAACATCACGGACCACAACATCACTACCACACCATGACAGACCACAACATTACACACCACACCATGACAGACCACAACATCACAGACCACAACATCACTACCACAACATCACAGACCACAACATCACTACCACACCATGACAGACCACAACATCACAGACCACAACATCACTACCACAACATCATGGACCACAACATCACGGACCACAACATTACAGACCACAACATTACAGACCACAACATCACTACCACAAAATCACAGACCACAACATCACAGATCACAACATCACAGACCACAACATCACTACCACAACATCATGGACCACAACATCATGGACCACAACATTACAGACCACAACATTACAGACCACAACATCACTACCACAAAATCACAGACCACAACATCACAGATCACAACATCACAGATCACAACATCACTACCACAAAATCACAGACCACAACATCACTACCACAACATCCCAGATAATTGCATCTCAGTAGTTGATAGACAAAACTTTATATTCAATGTTACTTGTGGTACAACATGATTGGTTTCTTCATGTTTGATCTTACATAGCACACACGTTGACTGATGAATCATGTTGACATCTACAAATCACCATCTGTAGTTTTAGATGCGGCCGTTGCTGCTGCCCCTTCTGCCGCCCCCTCAGCCGCCCCCTCTCCGGGGCCGTCGTTGGTCTCCGCTTTGCTGTAACCTTTCTTTGACCTTCTGATACTTTCACGTTTCCACTTTTCTACCTCCTGGTGTTTCTTCCTCTTGAAAAATCCCAGCTAAAAACACAACAGGAAGAAACAGTTGAGCAGAAGGCAGAAATTCTTGGTTGAACAAAACAGATAGTTGAAGTGTGTTTGTGCTTCAGACACTATGCAACGACCATTTTTTAAAATACTTTTAAAATTTTAAACAGAGCACAAAACAACCACAGTCACATCATTTGTTTGTGAACATATAAGCATAGAATTAGACTAGAAGAAAATTGATATAGAACTAGAAGAAAGTTGATATACAACCAGAAGAAAGTTGACACGGAACGAGAAGAAAGTTGACACAGAACCAGAAGAAAGTTGACACAGAACCAGAAGAAAGTTGACACAGAACCAGAAGAAAGTTGACACAGAACCAGAAGAAAATTGACACAGAACCAGAAGAAAGTTGACACAGAACCAGAAGAAAGTTGACACAGAACCAGAAGAAAGTTGACACGGAACGAGAAGAAAGTTGACACAGAACCAGAAGAAAGTTGACACAGAACCAGAAGAAAGTTGACACAGAACCAGAAGAAAGTTGACACAGAACCAGAAGAGAGTTGACACAGAACCAGAAGAAAGTTGACACAGAACCAGAAGAGAGTTGACACAGAACCAGAAGAAAGTTGACACAGAACCAGAAGAAAGTTGACACAGAACCAGAAGAAAGTTGACACAGAACCAGAAGAAAGTTGACACAGAACCAGAAGAAAATTGACACAGAACCAGAAGAAAGTTGATATAGAACTAGAAGAAAGTTGATATAGAACTAGAAGAAAGTTGATATAGAACTAGAAGAAAGTTGACACGGAACCAGAAGAAAGTTGACACAGAACCAGAAGAAAGTTGACACAGAACTAAAGTCTACCTTCCACAGGACCACAACGATGATGGCGATGAGGACAAGACCCGCGGCGATGCAGCCGATGATGATCCAGATGTTCACCTTGCCGCCCGACTGAACCAGGTGAAACTTTGTAGATGTCTGAAACAAAACGTTCATCAGCGGCTCATGATAGTCCAGGTGTTTAACTAGTCACATCAGTTCATCAGCGGCTCAATACGGCTCATGATAGTCTAGGTGTTTAACTAGTCACATCAGTTCATCAGCGGCTCAATACGGCTCATGATAGTCTAGGTGTTTAACTAGTCACATCAGTTCATCAGCGGCTCAATACGGCTCATGATAGTCCAGATGTTAAACTAGTCACTTCAGTTCATCAGCGGCTCAATACGGCTCATGATAGTCCAGATGTTTAACAAGTCACATCAGTTCATCAGCGGCTCAATACGGCTCATGATATTCCAGATGTTTAACTAGTCACATCAGTTCATCAGCGGCTCAATACGGCTCATGATAGTCTAGGTGTTTAACTAGTCACATTAGGCAGGTTATATTTGCTTTTAATGATCTCATTTATTTGTGGACAAATACCTTTAACGTCTAGTCGTCCAATGGTAAAACAAGTTTACCTCTAAGGGGGCAAATACAGCCAGAATCATCATAAAAACGTTTCTTTCGAATATCGTTCAATAATTAGTGTTATTTTTATTAAGAATTCATTGCTCTGTCAGTATGGGGTCATCAATAAATGATGTCACGCCTTTTTGACGATTTTACCTCTCCCCTCCGTCACACATCGTCACAAAAAGCCAGAACCCCACCCTAAAATGACGTCACACCTCAGCCCACAGCCCCCCCCCCCCTCAAAATTGCTGTTGATTTTTTTTTTTAACATCGATATTTTTCCAAAATCTTGTCTGAACTCTGTCAAAATAGAGTATTTTAATCAATTCCTATTACAATGCATTAAAACAGTTTTCTAAAACGCGAAATAACGTCTAAAATACGTTTTGTAACATTGTTTTTTCATAATGCAAAAGTGTGACGTCGCACCATCTGAACCCCCCCTCCACCTCATCAAACCGTCACAAAATTACGGACCCCCTCCCCCTACGAGTGTGACATCATTTATGGACGACCCCTATGCATTAATTTGACTAGAGTCCGTCAGAATGTCAAAAACGGGGAAAATAACGGACGACAAGCCGTTTACAACATTCGATATTGGAACGATATAATAATAAATATAAACAATAAATGCTCCCTATTGAATAAGAATAATTAGCTACTCCCTATTAAGTTTACTTCCGTTTATTAGGAAATACGACAAGTTCACCTTTAACGTCTTGTCCTCCCAGGACTTCAGCAGGTGATGCGGGGGTCTAGCAACTTGAAGGTCTGTCGTCAAAACCAGGGTGTTCGAATCCTATACAGACAGGCAAGTAACTGACAGGCTCAGTTCAAGTGTAAAATACTAAATAGATTAGCAATGGGAGTCTAACACATAGTAGGCTTTTTGATGAGAATTACAGAATGATTTTTTTATTAAAAATGTATCAATAATAGCTTGCACACTAGTAAACTAAGCCAATTTAGCATATTTTAACTTTCTGTGCAAAGTCATTATTACTGAAAAAAATTCCAAAGTCAGGTCAGCCTGTAGCACCCTCCACTGAACATAACAGAAGGAAAAAAAAACTTGACCCGTGACCTTCATTAAAACAGAATTTGCTTTTGTTTTTTTTTCATTTTTAGTAAATATGTGCTTAATCTTACCCAATAAGTGATAAAAATTTGAAAATTAATTTTAATTACTGTTGTAAAGTGAGATAAACAGCTTAATAAACACGTGTTTTCTTGAGGGGGTGTGGCACATCCCGACATCGCATTGTTTGTAACTTTATATTTGTGTTTTATGACTATATTTGTTCACAATCAGCATGCTATGCTTTTAATTTTGATAAAGGGTAAGTATACCAAGTTACAAAACCTGAAATCTAACTAATAATTCATACTTTCAGTTTAAAAACATAATGAAAACGATCATCAATGAAGAAAGCGTAAACATTCTATTTTTAGGTGTGACATAAAAAACAGTCATAAATCTAGCCGAATGATTGGATTCTTGCGCGTCACACATTTTCCCGCGCTTCGTGTTCACCAAAAAAGATTATAATAAAATGGCATTATTATTCTTACAGAGCATATCTCATGCCTACCATAAATTATTACCAGTTTATTGTAACGTGTGTAAAATTAATGCTTTCAAGTAAAAAATAGCAATAGTCTGGTTAAAAATACCTGCGGTATTTTATAGTTATTTGATTCGAAAGATAAGAATTATATAGAGCTACTTTCACTAAGGCGCCGCTTGCGAGACAAACATAGAAATTAGGCCAAAAGTAGATCCGACAATTCTTAAATAACAGACTTAAATAGAAACGGATAGTTCCGATTTCTTAAATTAACGATGGCTTCGTAATCATTAGTTTTATCGCTCTACCCATTAGTGAAAGCGAAACTGGTCGCCATTTTTGGTCAGCGCATGAGCCGTGAGATGGCTTCAAAACAACAAACCCGGAAGCTGTGAATTCGAACGGCCTACACATAGGGACTGTGTGAGGCTATGTAGATCTCTATCATACTACTAGTTTAAGTTGGTAGTTACTCTAGTACATGTATTATTTGAATGGTAGAAGTGCAGACATTACCTCAGGAAACGGCAGATTTGCTTGATTTAAAACCAAACTGATGTTTATTTCCACGTGCTTCTTGGGCTGGATAGGCGTCTGTAGGTCACACTTAAACTGGACACAAAGGGCCGGGTCCCTTTCACAACTCTACAGACATAAAATGGTAGCATTTTTACAGACATAAAGCATAAATTGTTAACATTTTACAGACATAATGCATAAATTGTTAACATTTTTACAGACATAATGCATAAATGGACACGAGCGAGAAAACTCTCAAAGGTATTTGAGAGGTGTATAAATTAGTTTAAAAATCAGGCACGGCGTAGTTACAATTAATATGGTTATAAAATCCTGTCTGTCTGGTTTATTTCGGACTTTACTAAAGATTGGGTCTATTTGATGTTTTAAAAATTTTCGGTAACTAATTGAAAATTTAAAAACAAGCCAAAACAATTTGGTTTTCACGTGTAATGGCGACATAAACAATGGCATCCTGCTATTGGATAGGCCGACATTGATTTTATTGTACACATTGTAAGCTAAAAATAGAAAACTAGGTCATGGGGTTTTTAATTTGCATTGTTATTTAAAAACTTGATCTGCAAAGTTTTGTAAACAAATAGTTATCGATCACTAAGTTACTGTACAGCCAATCAATATTTGTCTTACGAAAGGGAAACATCCGGTTTTAACTTAGGCTTGATGAAAATAAATAGAAATGTAGCCTTAAACTCAACAAATTATTTTCAAGTTCTCTGGATTTGCAACTTTTATAGCATTTATTCTAAAAATATAAAATTTCTAAATTAATTTTAGGCTTAAGTTTTTATTTTTTATTTTTTTTTACGGTCTAAATCTAAAAAGCACGTTTTTATTCCATGTCAACAATATTATGGAAGGAATCTCGTCAACTCGCTCGCCTCCATTGTTAACATTTTTACAGACATAATGCGTAAATTGTTAACATTTTTACAGACATAATGTATACATTGCAAGCATTTTTAAAGACATAATGCATACATTACTAGCATTTGTACAGACATACTATTACTAATTTAAAATAATAATGCATACATTACTAGCATTTTTACAGACATAATGCATACGTTGCTAGCATTTTTACAGACATAAGTCATACATTTCTAATGGTAAGCATTAACCAATTGGGCGGGGGGGGGGGGGGGGGGAGGGTAACCTGTCCTACCTACTGGACCATAAAAATCTGCGTGTGGCAAACCTGGTTATACCCAGACTAGTTTACTCTTAACCTAAATCTAGATGGCATACAAAACTTAGATAACTAAACTTATAACTTTAGTAAACACAGGAAACTGTTGGAACTAAATTTTTATCTTTCACCACTAATTACCATGGCTTACACAAAAACTAAATCAACTAAAACCTAATAAAAAACATTAGTAAACTAATAACAGTATTGCTATCACTTTAAAAAAACTTACAAACATCTTCGGCCTGACGTACTCAGAGTACTATCCAAGTGCACCCAACTTACACACTACACCCAACTTACACCCAACTTACACACTACACCCAACTTACACACTACACCCAACTTACACACTATACCCACACTACACCCAACTTACACCCAACTTACACACTACACCCAACTTACACACTACACCCAACTTACACACTACACCCAACTTACACCCAACTTACACACTACACCCAACTTACACACTACACCCAACTTACACCCTACACCCAACTTACACATTATACCCACACTACACCCAACTTACACACTACACCCAACTTACACATTATACCCACACTACACACAACTTACACACTACACCCAACTTACACACTACACCCAACTTACACACTATACCCACACTACACCCAACTTACACCCAACTTACACACTACACCCAACTTACACACAACACCCAACTTACACACTACACCCAACTTACACACTACACCCAACTTACACACTACACCCAACTTACACACTATACCCACACTACACCCAACTTACACACTACACCCAACTTACACATTATACCCACACTACACACAACTTACACACTACACCCAACTTACACACAACACCCAACTTACACACTACACCCAACTTACACACTATACCCACACTACACCCAACTTACACCCAACTTACACACTACACCCAACTTACACACAACACCCAACTTACACACTACACCCAACTTACACACTACACCCAACTTACACACTACACCCAACTTACACACAACACCCAACTTATACACTACACCCAACTTACACCCAACTTACACACTACACCCAACTTACACACTACACCCAACTTACACCCAACTTACACACTACACTCAACTTACACACTACACCCGACTTACACACAACACCCAACTTACACACAACACCCAACTTACACACTGCACCCAACATACACACTACACCCTAAAAATGGCGAAAATAAATGATTTTCTTTAAATCTATATATATAATTCTCTTCTGGGAGCGGTTAGAAAACAAGCTGCAAGCGCGCCTTACAGTCCCCTCTCTTCCTCTCTATCGCTACCACCCCCCACCCCCTCACATGGTTTGGTGAGCTGTGGTTCACGATGTTTACATTTTACAATCATAGAGACGGGTTTGGTGACGGCTATTAGGGGCAGATAATTTAGTTTGAAACGATTTTAAACTTAGAGGAGGTAACTAAGAGGAGACTGCTTTCACGTGGGGGGGGGGGGGGGGAGGGGTGTTTAGTGTTTTTAAGCAAATATTTTCAGTGGCAGCATTTGTACTGTCGAATTCACAAATTATAAATTACTGAAAAGTAGAAAAAAAACAGCTAAATTGCGGCGTATGATACGCAGCGGGTCGGCTCGTATATTATAATACTCTGTTAAATAACTTTTAAGAAAAGCGAGGGGCGCTTCCTAAAGTTTAGTCAAATGTTAGTAAATGTATCCAATACATATTATAAGACTGCCTACTAATATCAGAAAATTGTAATAATTTCATAAACAATTAATTAGACATCCAATTAAGTCAAATGTAATGTCACATTGGATTGTTATCGGGTCTTGACCCACATGCCGAATTTCAAAGAACTTGATCGGTTAGAAGTGCCTGAAATTTCGCTCTCCCGTTTCGATCTAGACAGACCGACATGCTTAAGATGGATGAAGCAAGTTAAATAAAAGCTTGTAAAAAGTCTCTAGAAACTAAACACTCGAACACCCCAGACAAACCCTACCCTAATTCCAGTAATAGTACAAATATAAAGAAACATAAAACAATCCTAAGTTCAAACAAATCAAAATCTAGGCACATTAGTCCTACAACACTAAGTTACGAAAAAGAAAATCTTCATCGGAAATGAACCCAACACTTACACTTAACCACCATAAGGAAGTACTAGCAGCTAATATCAAGTATTACCATGTATTTAAATATTGTGTAATAAACTGTACACTTAAGTATTAGTCTGAACACTAAAGTACTAGTCTATACACTAAAGTACGGAGCTGTGTACTAAGCTGTCCACTAAAGTACTAGGATGTATACTCAAGTACTAGGATATTTACTAAAGTAGTAGGATGTACACTGAAGTACTATGTATCTTACAACTACATAGGTTTTCTCCCCACTGCTGTCAGCTGCCCGCTTTCTTCTGTTGCTAGGGACGCCAAAGTCAATGGTGGTTTCTGCTGGAGGGGAATCATTGGTTAGTTGAATGAGATGGGTGGTGTCTGTATTCGTATATGGTTGATGTGGTTGTTAGTAATTGGTGAGGGTTTGTGGTTGAGTGAGTATCGAGTGACCGTGTGTTGTGTAATGTGTGTGTATTGTATTAGCGTGTATTTTGCGATAGTGTGTTGTGTATTTTGTGCGCACGTGATGATTGAGTGTATCTTATTTGTGCGTGCGTTGTATGTATGTGTTGTGTGTTGCATGTGTGTGTGTGTGTGAACGTGTGTTGTGTGAACGTGTGTTGTGTGAATGTGTGTTGTGTGAACGTGTGTTGTGTGAATGTGTGAACGTGTGTTGTGTGAATGTGTGAACGTGTGTTGTGTGGTTATTTATGAGCGTGTGTTGTATGAGGTTGTATATACCTGCTGTAGTCAAAGATGCTGTGGTCTGTGGTGCTTGACTGGGTTTTGTAGTGCTGCCATTTGCTGTAGCTGATGAAGTGACTGTTGTCGATGATGTTGATGTAGTGGTGGTTGAGCTGTGGAGGATGTTGATGTTGCCTACAGCTGTGCAGCTGGTGACCTCACCATCTGGACCAGACAGCTGGAACAAAACATCTTTAATAAACAAGGGGGGGGGAGATTTACTTTAGGTGAGACGTTTTGACAAGAGTGAGACTTCTAGAGTGATACTTTTATCTGAGGTGAGACGTTTTGACTAGAGTGATTCTTTTATCTGAGGTGAGACGTTTTGACTAGAGTGATACTTTTTTCTGAGGTGAGGCGTTTTGACTAGAGTGATACTTTAATCTGAGGTGAGGCGTTTTGACTAGAGTGATACTTTTATCTGAGGTGAGACGTTTTGACTAGAGTGATACTTTAATCTGAGGTGAGGCGTTTTGACTAGAGTGATACTTTTTTCTGAGGTGAGGCGTTTTGACTAGAGTGATACTTTAATCTGAGGTGAGGCGTTTTGACTAGAGTGATACTTTTATCTGAGGTGAGACGTTTTGACTAGAGTGATACTTTAATCTGAGGTGAGGCGTTTTGACTAGAGTGATACTTTTATCTGAGGTGAGACGTTTTGACTAGAGTGATACTTTTATCTGAGGTGAGACGTTTTGACAAGAGTGAGACTTCTAGAGTGATACTTTTATCTGAGGTGAGACGTTTTGACTGGAGTGATACTTTTATCTGAGGAGAGACGTTTTGACTAGAGTGATACTTTTATCTGAGGAGAGACGTTTTGACTAGAGTGATACTTTTATCTGAGGAGAGACGTTTTGTCTAGCGTGAGACTTGGTGAGGGCGAGATAAAACTGTAGATTATGAACTACAAGACATTTGATACCCTGACGTTCGCCTGTAGGACGATCTTGGACCTGTCCGTCAGGAGCACAGGGACGCTGATGGTGATGGTAGTGGCGGGCAGGAAGCTGGGCCCTCGGTTGGTGATCAGGACCTTGTGGCTCACGTTCAGCGGCACCGTGCGTCCATCGCTGTCTGACTGGCTCCCTTTGGCTTCGTACACCGTGTAGGCGGACGGCGAGGAGGAGCTGAAAGTTCAAAGTCAGGAACTTTTAACCTGCTCTCACACAAAGTCTGGAACTTTTAACCTGTTCTCACACAAAGTCTGGAACTTTTAACCTGCTCTCACACAAAGACTGGAACTTTTAACCTGCTGTCACACAAAGTCTGGAACTTTTAACCTGTTCTCACACAAAGTCTGGAACTTTTAACCTGCTTTCACACAAAGTCTGGAACTTTTAACCTGCTCTCACACAAAGTCTGGAACTTTTAACCTGCTCTCACACAAAGTCTGGAACTTTTAACCTGCTCTCACACAAAGTCTGGAACTTTTAACCTGTTCTCACACAAAGTCTAGAACTTTTAACCTGCTCTCACATAACAGTCTAAAACTTTTAACCTGCTCTCACATAACAGTCTAAAACTTTTAACCTGCTCTCACACAAAGTCTGGAACTTTTAACCTGCTCTCACACAAAGTCTAGAACTTTTAACCTGCTCTCACAAAAAGTCTGGAACTTTTAACATGCTCTCACACAAAGTCTGGAACTTTTAACCTGCTCTCACACAAAGTCTGGAACTTTTAACCTGCTCTCACACAAAGCCTGGAACTTTTAACCTGCTCTCACACAAAGTCTGGAACTTTTAACCTGCTTTCACACAAAGTCTGGAACTTTTAACCTGCTCTCACACAAAGTCTGGAACTTTTAACCTGTTCTCACACAAAGTCTGGAACTTTTAACCTGCTCTCACACAAAGCCTGGAACTTTTAACCTGCTCTCACACAAAGTCTGGAACTTTTAACCTGCTCTCACACAAAGTCTGGAACTTTTAACCTGCTCTCACACAAAGACTGGAACTTTTAACCTGCTCTCACACAAAGTCTAAAACTTTTAACCTGCTCTCACACAAAGTCTAAAACTTTTAACCTGCTCTCACACAAAGTCTAGAACTTTTAACCTGCTCTCACACAAAGTCTGGAACTTTTAACCTGCTCTCACACAAAGTCTGGAACTTTTAACCTGCTCTCACACAAAGTCTGGAACTTTTAACCTGCTCTCACACAAAGTCTAGAACTTTTAACCTGCTCTCACACAAAGTCTGGAACTTTTAACCTGCTCTCACACAAAGTCTGGAACTTTTAACCTGCTCTCACACAAAGTATGGAACATTTAACCTGCTCTGACACAAAGTCTGGAACTTTTAACCTGCTCTGACACAAAGTCTGGAACTTTTAACCTGCTCTCACACAAAGTCTGGAACTTTTAACCTGCTCTCACACAAAGTCTAGAACTTTTAACCTGCTCTCACACAAAGTCTGGAACTTTTAACCTGCTCTCACACAAAGTCTGGAACTTTTAACCTGCTCTCACACAAAGTCTGGAACTTTTAACCTGCTCTCACACAAAGTCTGGAACTTTTAACCTGCTCTCACACAAAGTCTGGAACTTTTAACCTGCTCTCACACAAAGTCTGGAACTTTTAACCTGCTCTCACACAAAGTCTAGAACTTTTAACCTGCTCTGACACAAAGTCTGAAACTTTTAACCTGCTCTCACACAAAGTCTAGAACTTTAACATGCTCTCACACAAAGTCTGGAACTTTTAACCTGCTTTCACACAAAGTCTGGAACTTTTAACCTGCTCTCACACAAAGTCTGGAACTTTTAACCTGCTCTCACACAAAGTCTGGAACTTTTAACCTGCTCTCACACAAAGTCTAGAACTTTTAACCTGCTCTCACATAACAGTCTAAAACTTTTAACCTGCTCTCACATAACAGTCTAAAACTTTTAACCTGCTCTCACACAAAGTCTGGAACTTTTAACCTGCTCTCACACAAAGTCTGGAACTTTTAACCTGCTCTCACACAAAGTCTGGAACTTTTAACCTGCTCTCACACAAAGTCTGGAACTTTTAACCTGTTCTCACACAAAGTCTAGAACTTTTAACCTGCTCTCACACAAAGTCTAAAACTTTTAACCTGCTCTGAAACAAAGTCTGTAACTTTTAACCTGCTCTCACACAAAGTCTAGAACTTTAACATGCTCTCACACAAAGTCTGGAACTTTTAACATGCTCTCACACAAAGTCTGGAACTTTTAACCTGCTCTCACACAAAGTCTGGAACTTTTAACCTGCTCTCACACAAAGCCTGGAACTTTTAACCTGCTCTCACACAAAGTCTGGAACTTTTAACCTGCTCTCACACAAAGTCTGGAACTTTTAACCTGCTCTCACACAAAGTCTGGAACTTTTAACCTGCTCTCACACAAAGTCTGGAACTTTTAACCTGCTCTCACACAAAGTCTGGAACTTTTAACCTGCTCTCACACAAAGTCTGGAACTTTTAACCTGCTCTCACACAAAGTCTGGAACTTTTAACCTGCTCTTACACAAAGTCTGGAACTTTTAACCTGCTTTTACACAAAGTCTGGAACTTTTAACCTGCTCTCACACAAAGTCTGGAACTTTTAACCTGCTCTCACACAAAGTCTGGAACTTTTAACCTGCTCTCACACAAAGTCTAGAACTTTTAACCTGCTCTGACACAAAGTCTGGAACTTTTAACCTGCTCTCACACAAAGTCTGGAACTTTTAACCTGCTCTCACACAAAGTCTGGAACTTTTAACCTGCTCTCACACAAAGTCTGGAACTTTTAACCTGCTCTCACACAAAGTCTGGAACTTTTAACCTGCTCTCACACAAAGTCTAGAACTTTTAACCTGCTCTGACACAAAGTCTGAAACTTTTAACCTGCTCTCACACAAAGTCTAGAACTTTAACATGCTCTCACACAAAGTCTGGAACTTTTAACCTGCTTTCACACAAAGTCTGGAACTTTTAACCTGCTCTCACACAAAGTCTGGAACTTTTAACCTGCTCTCACACAAAGTCTGGAACTTTTAACCTGCTCTCACACAAAGTCTAGAACTTTTAACCTGCTCTCACATAACAGTCTAAAACTTTTAACCTGCTCTCACATAACAGTCTAAAACTTTTAACCTGCTCTCACACAAAGTCTGGAACTTTTAACCTGCTCTCACACAAAGTCTGGAACTTTTAACCTGCTCTCACACAAAGTCTGGAACTTTTAACCTGCTCTCACACAAAGTCTGGAACTTTTAACCTGCTCTCACACAAAGTCTAGAACTTTTAACCTGCTCTCACATAACAGTCTAAAACTTTTAACCTGCTCTCACATAACAGTCTAAAACTTTTAACCTGCTCTCACACAAAGTCTGGAACTTTTAACCTGCTCTCACACAAAGTCTGGAACTTTTAACCTGCTCTCACACAAAGTCTGGAACTTTTAACCTGCTCTCACACAAAGTCTGGAACTTTTAACCTGCTCTCACACAAAGTCTGGAACTTTTAACCTGCTCTCACACAAAGTCTGGAACTTTTAACCTGCTCTCACACAAAGTCTGGAACTTTTAACCTGCTCTCACACAAAGTCTAGAACTTTTAACCTGCTCTGACACAAAGTCTGAAACTTTTAACCTGCTCTCACACAAAGTCTAGAACTTTAACATGCTCTCACACAAAGTCTGGAACTTTTAACCTGCTTTCACACAAAGTCTGGAACTTTTAACCTGCTCTCACACAAAGTCTGGAACTTTTAACCTGCTCTCACACAAAGTCTGGAACTTTTAACCTGCTCTCACACAAAGTCTAGAACTTTTAACCTGCTCTCACATAACAGTCTAAAACTTTTAACCTGCTCTCACATAACAGTCTAAAACTTTTAACCTGCTCTCACACAAAGTCTGGAACTTTTAACCTGCTCTCACACAAAGTCTGGAACTTTTAACCTGCTCTCACACAAAGTCTGGAACTTTTAACCTGCTCTCACACAAAGTCTGGAACTTTTAACCTGTTCTCACACAAAGTCTAGAACTTTTAACCTGCTCTCACACAAAGTCTAAAACTTTTAACCTGCTCTGAAACAAAGTCTGTAACTTTTAACCTGCTCTCACACAAAGTCTAGAACTTTAACATGCTCTCACACAAAGTCTGGAACTTTTAACATGCTCTCACACAAAGTCTGGAACTTTTAACCTGCTCTCACACAAAGTCTGGAACTTTTAACCTGCTCTCACACAAAGCCTGGAACTTTTAACCTGCTCTCACACAAAGTCTGGAACTTTTAACCTGCTCTCACACAAAGTCTGGAACTTTTAACCTGCTCTCACACAAAGTCTGGAACTTTTAACCTGCTCTCACACAAAGTCTGGAACTTTTAACCTGCTCTCACACAAAGTCTGGAACTTTTAACCTGCTCTCACACAAAGTCTGGAACTTTTAACCTGCTCTCACACAAAGTCTGGAACTTTTAACCTGCTCTTACACAAAGTCTGGAACTTTTAACCTGCTTTTACACAAAGTCTGGAACTTTTAACCTGCTCTCACACAAAGTCTGGAACTTTTAACCTGCTCTCACACAAAGTCTGGAACTTTTAACCTGCTCTCACACAAAGTCTAGAACTTTTAACCTGCTCTGACACAAAGTCTGGAACTTTTAACCTGCTCTCACACAAAGTCTGGAACTTTTAACCTGCTCTCACACAAAGTCTGGAACTTTTAACCTGCTCTCACACAAAGTCTGGAACTTTTAACCTGCTCTCACACAAAGTCTGGAACTTTTAACCTGCTCTCACACAAAGTCTAGAACTTTTAACCTGCTCTGACACAAAGTCTGAAACTTTTAACCTGCTCTCACACAAAGTCTAGAACTTTAACATGCTCTCACACAAAGTCTGGAACTTTTAACCTGCTTTCACACAAAGTCTGGAACTTTTAACCTGCTCTCACACAAAGTCTGGAACTTTTAACCTGCTCTCACACAAAGTCTGGAACTTTTAACCTGCTCTCACACAAAGTCTAGAACTTTTAACCTGCTCTCACATAACAGTCTAAAACTTTTAACCTGCTCTCACATAACAGTCTAAAACTTTTAACCTGCTCTCACACAAAGTCTGGAACTTTTAACCTGCTCTCACACAAAGTCTGGAACTTTTAACCTGCT